GAATTCCTCTGTTCGACTGAGAGCTCTCCTTTGCGTTTTCGGGGCTTGTTACCGCCCGCCGTACGCCTTGATGTTCGGCGTTTTGCGCGCCACGTGCTGTGAACGTCTTCAGGAAGTCATTATCCGAAGGAGCTCCCAGCACGTGGAGTGAATTCAGTTCGTGAAGAATCGGCAACCCCCCCCCCTCCGCTTAGCGCGCGGCGATAAACGTGGGACATGAAGCCAGACTGTCACGGCACAGCCCGTAGACACATCGGAGAGCTCGACTGTACACTGGAGCGTCCTCAGAAGATGAACTTTCTGACACGTGGTACGGTTTTCCTGACATGGTGATAGATACTACGATATCAGGTCCATGATGATCGATAACCCAACACATTATACCACCGTGGCCTTAAAATTAAACATAAATCTGACGTTTCAGGCAATAGCCCTTCTTCATAGCACGTAAATGGAGAGGCCACAGAGAACGAATAGATACGATTTGGAGACAGAACTTGACACCTTGAGGCCTCTTGATAATTAAAAAAAAATCATAAATAATTGTTTCCACAGTTATCGCATCATCCATTTCGGCAATTATCGTCATATCACGATTATCGTTGCTCATTTTATTTAACTTAAATATCTTATTCCCTAATCTTATCTTATTCCCTGACAAAATATTTACGAGAGTGACGAACTCAATTTTAAAATGTGTAAGTAAAAGTGAACATCCATTAAGTTAGTGCTTTGCTGTACGTCTTTTAAAGTCATCGATGGCATGGCAATTCTATGACGCCATCACTTTCGCAGTTCATGTAATGATGTCATTACACGCGTGTGTAATTGACAGCGTGTGCGCAAACACGGTTATAGTTTTGAAGTCGTAAGTTGAGTGAACTGCAGATGAGACACTTTGAAGTGCGGTTCTGCTTTGTTGCAGTACAGCAAAGCACAACACGATAACATAATCATTGAGGCGATGCTCATTTCCTGTTTACAGTTCGGAGCCAGTCGTGGCAATTCCACATTCCTGTGGCGAGGTAGTCCAGAGGACAAACACTATACTCTTTGGTTCTATTCGGTAAAGTCACGTAGGTAAAAATAAATGACTTTACCGAATAGAACCAAAGAGTATGGATCCTTGCAGTCACGAAAGCTTCAAATCTAGAAAGGACAAACACTGTTTTGCAACTTGCTCTACTGCTGAGCCACCAGGGCCGGGAAACTGATGTCCCGATAATCATCACATCTAGCTTTCAGTTTCATTTATTTGGTATAGCAATGTGATATCATGTACAACTGTGAGAAATGATCACAGCAATTATAATTCCTTGTCACTTGGATGTGTATCCAGTCTGGCATGCACGCTGGCCGGAGACGATTCGAGGATTTACAAAAAACGTCAGTGTCACTGTCGCGCGACTCTCTTCCATAATTTCCAGAAAGTGTAAGAATTGACTCGGACTCGTCCGTGCGTGCCCGCGCATGACGGGACACGCACGCACGCACGCGGAAGACGACTGCAATCCCACGTTTGCACCCGGAGTTTCAGCGATGCAGTGACGTGAAGTATCCGTACAGCGATGAACTGAAAGCGACCGGGCAGAGCGGGCGGGAGGTTGAGCAGTGGCTGCAGGCAGACTTGCGGGAGACGTTTTTTTTTAATATCAGGAAAATCCGCGTGCTTCGGTTCTCATTTGTTGACGCTGTAAGATAAATTGGGGTTTTTTTTGCTTCTTAATATATATGGAAATGAACGATTCGTAAAAAAGAAAATCACGTAGATTTTTCATTGCAATAATGAAACACCTACTTTTGTTTCTTAAAGTTTTGTATTCAAATTGAATTACTTAAAAAAAATGTTTACATGAATTACGCTTTTAAAAATTGTTTATTTTGTAATGAAAAAAAAAGCTCCTTGCAGGCAAGTAACGATGAATCGATTGTAATAGATTATTTGCCCTGGTGGCATATTCATTGAATCACGTTTTAAAGAAAATATATGCTCGTGATAGGTAAATCAGTGGCTAATGAACTTACAGAATGCATGGGACAACATAAGAGATGGACAATACAAATGAGGCAGAACATGCCAGGTTTTACAACACGGGTACAGGTAAGAAAGTGCCTCCCCCTAGTGTGTAGATTAAGAGGAAGCAGATATCATAGAAGTAGTTCTGAGATATTTGCTTCCACAGGCCGTTCTCTAACATGGGGTGTGGTGGGGGGGATGCACTTCCCTGTGGGAGTTCCAGATGGATTATTCATCTCTTTACCCAACACCAATAGATCATGAATAATTATTCAACCAGGAGGCAAACTGACGGTTGTATACTGTCCATTGTTATTCCAGTCGACGACGAGTCAAATGGAGGTGTAACGATCCCCCTCCCCCCGGGCACCTTCCACCGATCAATCCTTGTTTTCCTCGCATTTTAAGTGAACGTAAGCAGCCACTTGCGGCTGCAGAGCTCATATCAACCCACGTCAGACACAACCAATAAATAAATCCCCAAGGATTCGTACGCACGCCCTTCATGGATAGTACCGTATCGCGAGTCCAAGTTTTGCCGCGACATCCACCCCCCCCCCCACCGAACACCTCCGATTGGCGCGGTTGGCGACGTACGGCGCAAAAGAAGTGCACCGTACGCACACAAAACGCAGTCGACGAATCGACGCGTCTTTACAGCCCCCTCGTAATTCGCAACGCGTCCGATTCGGCCCGTGCGCTTGTCCCGCGCGGCCGAGACGTTGTTCAGCGGGCCCCCCAAAGCGTCCGCGTGTTTCCCGACCGCCGCGTGCAGAAGCGGGGGCGTGGGTTCGGAGAGAGTTCCCCAAAAACAAAGTAAAAAGGAAGCCGCATGAATTTCAAAGTCACTTCCCACGCCTCCAAGTGAACTGTGAAATCACAGCGCGTCCTCGACTCGTCGCTGCAAAGTCAGCAATTGAAATGTTTTCAAATGGTGCTTATCTTCCCTTAAGAAGCACGCATTGCTGCTTCTTCATTTCGCTACGCATCACGTTGCGATGGTTTGTTCTGCCCAGGTTGTGAGAATTAAATAGTTTTTTTTGGTCACAGGGCACAACCCCCCCTCCTGAATCGTCACGAATCGGGGCGAGGATTCAATGCCTTTGAACGCATTGATGGATTCCCTCCGTCTGCCTGTAAACTCGTACAGATGACCCAATATGTCATAAAATACGAATGAAATGTTCGGTAAAATTGCGTTTCGTTTCACTTCTTCCATCTCATCTTAATACCTATTCTCGTTTTTCATACTTTGATACTGGAAAAAAATGTCCCATGATATAGCTGCTCACGCCGAGTGTTAAAGGCTCTGATACGTGCATTGTCCTTGTACTGTTCGCCTTTTGACGTTCTCTGGTCTGACACTGGTAGTGAGACTCGGCCATACAGAAGGATGTCTCTGGTGTAGGCCAATCCGTTTTAAAGACAATGCGCATATTATATCAGAACATGTTTGTTTGCATTCTAGATTTGAAGTTTTCGTGACTGCAAGGATCGTAGGTGAAAAATAAATAAGTCACGTAGGTGAAAAAATAAATCATATCAAGTTAAAAAATTTGAAATAAAAAAATCACGACGTTTCGATTGCAACACAAGCAATCATCATCAGGTGGGACAACCACAGCAAGGAATTTTTTTTCTCCCACTTCAGTAAAAAAAAAATTGCATGTTCACCACAAGTACGTGTGGTTAATGCAGACTTGATTCCTTGCAAAAGGTATCTATTTGGTTTTTGAACATCTTAATACCTCCTGTTTTGTTGCCAGAAAGGGTAAAACCTATTCTTATTTTTCATTCTCCCATCTCGTTGGCATTGTTTCTCCGTTGTTCCGTCTCATTCGTACAGCTTTGTTAACACACACCCCCTCCCCACTCCATTCGCGTAATTGTAACGTGACCATATCCTTTCCCGCACGATGAGTATAAATTCCTAAATTTACAGATTACTTGTGCGCTACTTCCATGAGACGAGTTGTCGAGTTTTTTGGTGTCCGGGATTGGGCCGCTTGGCTCGTCGCTCAGTGTGATAGTGCTCGTAGCTGGTTGGAGAGCCGGCTAGGGGTAGCGGTAGGGAGAGAAGAATTGTGATAGTGCTCGTAGCTGGTTGGAGAGCCGGCTAGGGGTAGCGGTAGGGAGAGAAGAATTGTGATAGTGCTCGTAGCTGGTTGGAGAGTCGGCTAGGGGTAGCGGTAGGGAGAGAAGATGGTCTGCGAGTTTGTTCGGGTTGGTGCTAGTGCACTGGAAGCTCGTTGTAGTGTTTAGGGGTAGGGCTGGTGACTGGCTTGTTAGGGGTCGAGGGTATTTCCTGTGCTTGTGGCTATTTGGCTACAGAGCGTTGTTAAGACTCGGGGTAAGGCTAGTGCTAGGGGCTAAGAGGCCAGCATGTGTCCCGTCTACTCTTGTTGCAAATGAATGCCACATACGGGATTGTATATATTGTTATTTCTTTGAACCCATCTACGTGACCTTACCGAAAGACCCAAAGAATATGAATTCCTGCAGTCACGAAAGCTTTCAAGTCAAGATTGTATATATTATTTGGTGCCGCTTTTAATGCCACCTTTTCCCCGTTCCAGTTTCAGTTCCATTCATTTGGTATAGCCCTGTGAGCCATTCGGCTCTTGAATCGGGTGCAACCGCAACAAACAAAAAAGTGAACAAGATAACATCTTAAAGTGACTATGTGACTATGCAAACAGAAAATACAGGAAAAACCATCAAAATATTCCAGAAAAAGCACCGTACACCAACGCTGTGTGCAAAAATCCCAGTGGGATGCAAGTCAAACAACAACCACAAAACAATTTAGATTAAGGCCATCAGTATAACTCCGTACTACAAGAAACAAAAACATGGCCAAACCAAAAAACGTTTTCTAAATCACCAAAATAAAGCCATAAATGCAACGTAACAGTGATCACGGCAGCTGCCGGGCCTGCCGCTAACGCGCGTCTGCGTCTCTCGCCCCCCATCTCCCTTCCAGTAACGCGTTCGGCCCCAGTCAGGACTCGGAGCAGCCGCTGGTTCGCTACCACGTCAAGAAGTCCTACTCCAAGAAGTCCATGAAGGCCACGTGTGAGTGAGGCCACGCGTTGCTTTGCTGCCCCCTCTCCGCCGCCGCCCCCCCCCCCCTCTCCCACCGGCAGAGGCCCGGCGTTCACCGGCCATACGCGGCGCTTTGTGTTTAGTTTGTTACAACAGGCACGGTTATCTCACGAACGTGACGCGACGTTCGATCGAGGACTGGGGAGGGGTGCGAAATGGATCCACGTTGCTCTCTGGCGCATGCTCGCGCTGCACCGCGGTGGGCGTCGTTGTTTCTGCACGGCGTCCCGACGTTTCGCACCGCGTGCCGAGAGAGCTTCTCCCCCGGCTGCCGAACGCGCGCCGTGGGGAAGCTCACGGGAGCACTTGCAATCCGGAACGTCGGACATCGTTATTGAACAGCCAGAAAAACAAACACACACACACACACACGGGAGAGTGACACTGAAGCGCAACCGCGAAAATCAGTGAGCACGGAGAGTACAGGCGGTCCCCGCTTTTACGACGTCGCAACGCGTCACTGGAAACCCGTCCGTCGTAAATCGGACCTCCCTATTTTCCCGTTGACAGTAGAAACAGCAGAAACATCACGAGCCGATGTGGTCCCCCCCCTCCCTCCATTTAATCAGCCGTATTCAACGGGGTTTCATGGGTAAAAAGCCACTCACACCCTAAAAAACACTTGACCACAACAAAAACTCCACGAGGCTCACTCTGTTCAAAATTGCGTCCGGAGTCGTTTCGGAATACGCAAATCAAGTTGCGCGCGTACTCCATGCATGCTGAACTTCTTTCGCACCGTACGTAGCCGAACGTTGCCAACCGGAGGCGCGGGCGCAAGGACAACAAACTGGCACGCGCACACAAGGGCAGTTCGCTAAACGTCGCCAGAGTGCGTCGTCCTAAATCGGAGCCGTCGTAAAAGAAATCGTTCGCGATCGCCTCACGCCCGTGCGTGCCCCCCCCACCCCGCCCACAACACCGCCCCCACCCACCCCCACCCACCCCGCGTGCGCTGCTGCCCCCTACCGCGCGCGCAGTGCAGCGGCTGGGCATCAGCGAGGAGCTGAACCTCAAGCTGAAGGACGTGATGCTCGACCGACGCCTGCTGAGCCTTGGCAAGGTGCTGGGGGAAGGTGAGGCCCTTCGCTCTCACCACCCCCCCCACCCCTCACCCCCACGAGGTCACCCTCCTCACTCGTGGCCGGCCTCAAGCCTCAAAGGGCGCCGCGGTGGCGAGATGTTAACTACCTCGCCTGGTATGCAAGAAGTCGTGGGTTTGATCTCGATCACGACCCTGATGCCTGCTGTGTATATTTGGAGTTTGCGTCTCTTTTTGTCTCTCATCATCATCACGGTGGCTAAGTGATGTTAACTACCTCGCCTGGTATGCAAGAAGTCGTGGGTTCGATCCAGACCCTGACGCCTCCTGTATATTTTGGAGTTTGTGTGTCTCTCTCTCTCTCCCCGTGGTCGCGTTGGATTTTTCCTCCAGGTCAATCCGGTTTTCCCCTCAACATTTAGAATCATATGTTTACAGTATTTGCCTGCTGTAAATGTGCGCTTGATAAGCCACTCTATTGGGCTCTCACTTGTGGACAGCTCACTTTTGACAAAGAGCTATCTAGCTCAGTGGGCTTTACCTGGTTTAAATTTTAAAAAAATTGTGGTTTCCTGCTCAAATAGAGCATTGAGGCACTGGTGCCCATCTGCTGCCTGCAGCCCCTCAGCCATGCAATTGCTGATTCCAACCACGGTGAGTGCATTGCGTGCTCAAGAATCGAATTTAATCCCACGAATCGACCCGTCGTTACACATCCACGACGTAGCCTCACCGGCCTACAACTGCGCAGATTTAAATGTGGGGATGAACACGAGCTGGGTGTCGAACGTCGCTCCTGTCTCTGCTGTGTCTCCTCTCCACTCCTGTCCACCCCCACAGGTGAATTTGGATCCGTCATCGAGGGGAAGCTCAAGAAACACGGGGACACGGAAGTGAAGGTGGCGGTGAAGACCATGAAGAGTGAGGTTTTGTTCTGCGTGCGCGCGCTCTTTCCCCAACGAATCATCTCGTCGCGTGGCCTACGACTGACGCCGCTAGTTTGTTTGAGCGCGAGTAGTTTTTTTTTCGCATTCCTACTCAAAGTCAAAAGTTAAACTCGAAAAGTGATCGTCTGCTCAACGAGCATTGAGGCGTTACTCGTCTCCTCTTGAGAGCCCCCGATCCAATGGTGGCAATTCCAAGTTCCTTTTTGTGGCAGGAGGGGGGCGGGGGGTGGGGGGCGAGAGTCTATCCACAGGACAACCACTGTTGACTTCCCCACAGAGCGGTACTCGCTTTTTAAACGGGCGGAGGGATGATCGTGCCGAACCAACTCCCGACCAGGATGTGAACTCGCAACCTTCCGATGATCGCGAGGTGCTCGCTGTCGACCGCCGGGGCCGCCTGGCCGCGTCTGTTGCTCACTGCGCCCGAAGCAAAATGCAACTTCACGACGATGATGCGATTACCCACACCTTCGACGGCGCCTGAAACGTCGTCCAAATTCCCGAAACGAAATCGCCGGTGCCGACCCGTTGCTCATCGGACCGGTTGTAGAATGCGCCACCAAATTTGGCGGGTGATTTTTTTCGGCGGGGGGGGGGGGGGTGGGGGGGGGAGCCCCTCTCGCGTGTGGCCGAACGGCCAGCTCACATCTGGAAGCCGTCTGGGCCCGACACGGCTCTGGGTTTGTCTGCGACGGGTGTTTGTGTGGAGAAGGTTCGCGATCGTGATTGATGGCGCTTAACGATGAGGCTTCGCCCGACCTCTTGGATGTTTTTGTGTGTGCGATGTTGTCGTGTTCCTGTGCGCGTCTCCGTGTGTGTGTCTCCACATCGGGGGATCTTCGTCTGTGTCTTGTGTGTATCCATGTGTGAGCGTGCACATGTCTGTTTTACGTACGCGTGTGTGTACGAGTGCACAGGCGTGTGCGTGTACACTCGTGTGTGCGAATATTAACCTCGGTGTGTGCTGCTGTGTGCTTCTATGTTGTCTCCATGTGTGCGTGTGGGTGTCTGTATGTATAACTGTGCATGTGTGCGTACATGTGTGCCATCCCTCTCAAAGCGTCACCTCTTCTCCATTGCCCATTGCCTTCCCCGCCCTTCTCGCCCCTTCACTCTGTCTCGCCCCTCCCTTGCCCTTCCGTGACCCCTGTGTGCCCTCTGCTGCGGTCACTCGTTCCTCGGCCTTTGCACTGCCCCCTGCCATCTAAATCACTCGATTTTTTGTTACCGCTTTTTAAACTACGATAAGCGCCTTGAGCTAAGGCGCCCTACAAATATAAAATAGGATGAGAAAATATCTCAAGGTAGTCAATGAGCCTGTTCCGTGACCTACCAGCACTCTTGTGATACTTCGCGTGCCCTCAAAGTGTACCTAGCCTGGCACAGGCACCGCGTTGACGTCACCGTCGAACGACGGCCCTTGCTGTTGCGTGCGCACACGTGTTAACGCGTGTACCGCGTGTTAACGCGTGTACCACGTGTTAACACGTGTACCGCGTGTTAACACGTGTATCGCGTGTTAACGCGTGTACCGCGTGTTAACGCGTGTACCGCGTGTTAACGCGTGTACCGCGTGTTAACACGTGTATCGCGTGTTAACGCGTGTACCGCGTGTTAACGCGTGTGCCGCGTGTTAACGCGTGTACCGCGTGTTAACGCGTGTACCGCGTGTTAACGCGTGTACCGCGTGTTAACGCGTGTACCGCGTGTTAACGCGTGTATCGCGTGTTAACGCGTGTACCGCGTGTTAACGCGTGTGCCGCGTGTTAACGCGTGTGCCGCGTGTTAACGCGTGTATCGCGTGTTAACGCGTGTACCGCGTGTTAACGCGTGTACCGCGTGTTAACGCGTGTATCGCGTGTTAACGCGTGTACCGCGTGTTAACGCGTGTACCGCGTGTTAACGCGTGTACCGCGTGTTAACACGTGTACCGCGTGTTAACGCGTGTATCGCGTGTTAACGCGTGTGCCGCGTGTTAACGCGTGTACCGCGTGTTAACGCGTGTACCGCGTGTTAACGCGTGTACCGCGTCTTAACGCGTGTACCGCGTGTTAACACGTGTATCGCGTGTTAACGCGTGTACCACGTGTTAACGCGTTTTCCCACTACCCCTCCTGCGTGCGTGCGTGTGTCGCCAGTGGACATCTGCTTCCGAGGGGACATGGACGACTTCCTGAGCGAGGCCGTGCGGATGATGGAATTCGATCATCCCAACGTCATCCGCCTCCTGGGTGAGTTGCTCCTCCTCCACCAGCCTCTCCCGCGTGTGACTTGTGTGTGTGTGTTGGATTTCTTTCACACTGTACGTAGCCAACTGTGGTCCCCACCCCCCCACCGCACCCCCTCCACCACCCGCTGGGATGCATTGTTGGCTGTTGCGCGGGTCTTGCGATGTTCCCAGCGTACCAAACGGTGCAGGGCAACGGTGTCAAGCGTCGTCCGTCAGCGGCTCCCCGATGATTATCTGCGTGCGTGGACACTCTTCTGATGTACTGTCCAAGTCAGAGCGGAGAGAGAAAATAAAGATCCAGTTCAGCTGCCGAGGCCGGCTGTGGTTTCAGTGGTGGCCAAGGGAGGTACATGTGGCATGGTGATGCCGTTTCCATTGCAGGGAGAAATCATTGCACTCACCAATGAGTTTTCGGGTTGCGAGATATTAACAACCTAGCCTAGTATACAGGAGGCCATTGGTTCGATCCCGACCCTGATGCCTGTTGTATATTTGGAGCTTGCATGCACTCCCTGTGGTTGCGTGGATTTTTCTCCAGGTCCTCAGGTTCTTCCCTCCAAATTTAGAAACGTGCGCGATGAGTATTTGGCCTCTATAAATGTCCACGTGATGAGCCATTTCGTTGGGCTATCACTTACGGCCAGGTCGCTTCTGAAAAAGAGCTACATAGCTCAGTGGGCATTTACCTGGTAAAATAATAATAGTTTAGTTTCAGTTTAGCTTGCCGTGTTGTTCGGCACGACGTCCGACGTTTCGACCGCACGGCCTGGGAGCATGTCGCGGCTGAACACGCCGGAGAGCCGTAGAGCGCAGAGTGTGGACGCCCCCACGCAGAACGAAAGTTTTGCGTTTCAGCCCGGCCGTGGGAACCGGAGCAACGCTCCCAGCTATTGGAAATTCCGTGGCATCGAGTCGCCTCAAGTGACCTTGGGCGAGCCTCCTGGAGCATCGTCGCGGGCGGCAAAAGATGCCACTTGAGGCGCTGTCAAGTTTTTTCGGGCGAGTTTGAACTCCCATGTGAGAGCCTCCCCCCCCACCCCCCACCCCCCATCCCACCCCACCCCGGAGAGGGTTTTGAATCGAAGCCGTTCCGTCGAGTGCAGCTCGAGAGACGGAGAATCCGATCGTGGGATAATGTGCAGCCGTTGTCGCGCCACACAACGATGTCAGCCGTGCGCCGTCCACTGAAATCAATTTGCGCGCAGGTGCTGGGTGGATCGTGAGTTACATCGCGGGATCGCGAGAGGAGGCACCTGCTCGGGGGGGGGGGGGGGCTTCGTCAGGCAGTGGATTGACCGTGGCTGCTGCTGCTGCTGATGATGATGATGACAAAGTTCACGCTGATCCTGTCACTGTGCACATGTGCGTGCGTGTTCTCTTTGGCAGGGGTGTCGGGGAGCGGCAGTGTAGCGGTCAGCGCACTGCGCTGCGAACCTGGCCACCCGAGTTCGATTCCCGCTCTTGGCCAACACCAGTATCGATTATCAGAACCGGTCCCGGGCCTCCCCTAGGTCGACTCAGCCTCAAATGAGTACCTGGTGCATTGAATAATCATCGCCACTGTGGAGACAAAGGCGGCCGGGGCGTGGCGTTGGCCACCCATCCCCCTCGTGTGCCGTGCCGGCCTTCATAGGCGCTCGCGTAACGGTGCTTGCCCCAACAGTGTGTTAAGGCTACATGGAGGATCTCTGCGTGTGTGTCTTTGTGCAGGGGTGTGCATGTCAGTGGACGAGCAGCGGAGGCTCCCACGGCCCATGGTGGTGCTGCCGTTCATGCGGCACGGGGACCTGCACAGCTACCTGCTGCGCTCGCGCATCGGGGAGATCCCCGTGGTACGACTCGGTCAGCTCCGGTCACCCTTGCAGCACTAGCAGCAGCACTAGCAGCAGCACCAGCAGCAGCAGCACTAGCAGCAGCACTAGCAGCATCACTAGCGGCAGCACTAGCAGCACTACTAGCAGCACTAGCAGCACTAGCAGCAGCACTAGCAACACTAGCAGCAGCACTAGCAGCAGCACTAGCAGCACCACTAGCAGCAGCACTAGCAGCAGCACTAATAGCATCACTAGCAGCATCACTAGCAGCACTAGCTGCAGCACTAGCAGCATCACTAGCAGCACTAGCAGCACCACTAGCAGCACCACTAGCAGCATCACTAGCAGCACTAATAGCAGCACTAGCAGCACTAGCAGCAGCACTAGCAGCAGCACTAGCTGCAGCACTAGCAGCACCGCTAGCAGCACACTAGCAGCAGCACTAGCAGCACTAGCAGCAACACTAGCAGCACCACTAGCAGCACCACTAGCAGCAGCACTAGCAGCATCACTAGCAGCATCACTAGCAGCACTAGCAGCACTAGCAGCAGCACTAGCAGCAGCACTAGCTGCAGCACTAGCAGCACCGCTAGCAGCACCACTAGCAGCAGCACTAGCAGCACTACTAGCAGCACTAGCAGCAACACTAGCAGCACCACTAGCAGCATCACTAGCAGCATCACTAGCAGCACCACTAGCAGCAGCACTAGCAGCACCACTAGCAGCATCACTAGCAGCACCACTAGCAGCATCACTAGCAGCATCACTAGCAGCACTAATAGGAGCACTAGCAGCAGCACTAGCAGCAGCACTAGCTGCAGCACTAGCAGCACTACTAGCAGCACCGCTAGCAGCACCGCTAGCAGCACCACTAGCAGCAGCACTACTAGCAGCACTAGCAGCAACACTAGCAGCACCACTAGCAGCAGCACTAGCAGCATCACTAGCAGCATCACTAGCAGCACTAGCAGCAACACTAGCAGCACTACTAGCAGCACTAGCAGCACCACTAGCAGCAGCACTAGCAGTAACACTAGCAGCACTAGCAGCACTAATAGCAGCACTAGAAGCAGCACTAGCAGCAGCACTAGCAACACCACTAGCAGCACTAGCAGCAGCACTAACAGCAGCACTAGCAGCACTCGTAGACTATACTCATCTGGCAAATAATGCACCTTCATGATAGCCTTGCGCTATAGGTATGGGGCAAAGATAAAATGTAGTAGACTATTATTATTGTTATCATTCCGGAGGGCTCTGCTACGTTGCATGAGACAGCGCCACAACGCGACCGCCGGGCACCAGTGACGGCCGTCACGAACTCTGTCATTCGGAACGACCTAACTTTGTTGACGCGTCACAAAGTGCCACCAAACTTCATTGACCCTGTAGGGATGACGGGCCAACCCGGGGCTCTCAGGTCGACGGGATCGTGAAGCTCGCCTGTGCACACCCTTCAACGGTATCGCCTCGTACTCGTGGTGGTGGGCTTCCTCCATGGTGCTTAGGCCTACTTCTCCCGCGTGGAGCCCACTTCTCGTTGATGGGATTGGCCCGAACTTCGCGGCACTTTCCTTGAACGGGAACACCCCTGAGGCACGGCGACGATTTCCCCCCCGCTCGCCGCCCCGCTCCGGGGAAGAATGAACGGCCCCATTCGCGTCCACTGCTCAGCAGCTGCCGCACTTCGGCGATTCCAGTGAAGATTCAATAAGCCACCCCGCTCAGCGACTCCTACTCTACACATGTATTATGTGTGTGTGTTGAACTTCTTTCGCACCGTACGTAGCCAACCGTGCTACTCGGAGGTGCGGGGGGGGGGGAAGGGTAACGAACTAAACACAAAAAGCAGTTGTAAAGGAATGAGTTTTCAATCTAGATTTAATAGTGCATATAGCTCCAGTGGTGGAGCAATCTGAATGGATATGCGGAGGATGTTGTGTTTGTACGAGTGACTATGTGCGCGCGTGAACGTGAGTACTTGTGCATTTACAGGGTAAGTGAAGCGGTTAACTGAAGTGGTCCTGGGCCTCCCCTACATGAACCCAGCCTCAAATTAATACAAGGCGCGGCGTGTTAACACCACCGCTGGGGAAACAAAGGCGGCCGGGGCGTGGTGCTGGCCACCCACCCGCTTTGCGTGCCGTGCCGGCCTTCAGAGGTGCTCGCGAACAGCACTCGCCCCAACAGCGTGTTAAGGCTACACGGGGGGGGGGGGTCTTTGTCTTGCAGTACGTGCCGATGCAGATGCTGGTGCGCTTCATGGTGGACGTGGCACACGGGATGGAGTACCTCTCCAGCCGACACTTCATCCACCGCGACCTCGCCGCACGGAACTGCATGTCAGTGTTGTCCAAGTCTTTAGAAGTGTCTCTCGACCAATCGCCGAGTATTCATTTTATTTAACATTTTTATTTTACCAGGTGAGGCCCAGCTGAGCTATTTAGCTCTTGTTCAGAAGCGACCTGGCCACCCACGAATGATAACCCAATGCAGTGGCTTACCATGAGGACATTTATAGCAGCCAAATCCTCGAAATGCATGTTTTTCTAAATGCGGATAAAAATCGGAGATCCCGGAGAAAACTCCACGGGACCACGGGGACAAAATGCAATCTCTAAAAATACAGGCATCAGGGTTCGGGATCGAACCGACTACCCCCTGCATACCAGGCGAGGTGTTTAACATCTCGCCACCGAGTGAACCGATACAGGATCTTTAATTGGCAGCTGGAATCGCTCTTATAGCAATGTCGTCGTCCTAGAAAGTGACTCGTTTTAAGTCGAGCTTATTTTGTTTTTCATTCGGTGGAAATTCAAGGGACCGGGATGAGTCTCATTTGCAAGAGTTACCTGGGTCACCAAAGTGACAAATCAAATAAATAAATAAAATAAAGTAACAACAACGACGAAGGGAACGGAACATCGGAGAAATGACTGCACGGAGAAAACTAATTCTTAAATCAAATAGATGTCCTGCAGTGAACGCTGCCTTGCGCGATTGACTTTAAAATCGTTCATGGTCACCGAGGGGCGGACTGAGTGGCCCAGTTCCGCACGACGCCAATCGCTCCGACAAAATGTTGTCGCTAGGGGAAACTTTAAACGTTGCACGATCGAGTGATGACAACATTTGCTAAGTTTGCCAACACCGGGGAACCCACGGGTGTGTGGGGGGTGGGGTGGTTGAGGGGGAAATCGGGGATTGGGGCCCCCTCCTGGCCACTGGCGCAGATTCGGCACTTCACGATGCATCGATTGCAGCCGACTATTCCACTCGGAGGTGAACGGCACTGAAGCATGCGCGTAAGAATCAGTTTGCTCACCATGCAGATTGCGGATCAAGCGACAGACAATACGAATGAGACTTGAGCACACGAGACAAGACGATAGGAGACTGGACAATGCAGACAAGACTAACATACGAGGCGAACAATAGAAACAATGTGGTAGAAAATATAACGGATGGAACGGAACGTAAACAATGATGTCCCGTGGGTGGGTGCATGCGCGTGTGTCCCCTCTCCCTCCCTCCCTGCAGGCTGCACGAGGACATGACCGTGTGCGTCGCCGACTTTGGCCTCTCTAAGAAGATCTACAGCGGCGACTACTACCGGCAGGGCCAGATCTCCAAGATGCCCGTCAAGTGGATCGCCATCGAGAGCATGGCCGACCGCCTCTACACCTCCAAGAGTGACGTGGTGCGTGGTGGAAGGCGCCAGCGCAGTGGCGAGATGTTAACTACCTCGCCTGGTATACAGGAGGTCGTGAGTTCTCTCTGTAGTTAGATGTTAACTACCTCGCCTGGTATACAGGAGGTCGTGAGTTATCTCTGTAGTGAGATGTTAACTACCTCGCCTGGTATACAGGAGGTCGTGAGTTCTCTCTGTAGTGAGATGTTAACTACCTCGCCTGGTATACAGGAGGTCGTGAGTTCTCTCTGTAGTGAGATGTTAACTACCTCGCCTGGTATACAGGAGGTCGTGGATATCGAGTTTTTCGGTGTCTCTCTCCCCATGGTAGCGTGGATTTTTCTCCAGGTCCGCCGGTTTTTTACTCCGCATTTAGAATCAACATGGGTTTAGGAGCATTTGGTTGCTATAAATGTCCACTTTGATGCATTCTGCTCTAGTACGGTATGCAAACAATGGCGCTCGGAAGACAAAGGCGGCCGGGCACGTGCGAGCGCTAAACGTACCTTCCTCACGCCGCCTTGAGCCTATACAAAAATAACGACTCGGCATCGTATAGCAGAGAGCAATTAATGTACGGTACAGTACTCCAACGTCTAGCGCTCCCCGCCCTAAGCGCCTCCACCAACCTGCACTGACCAGTGTGGCGAAGTATGTGAAGACAAAAAGGACTTCCCGCGCCCCACTTTGTGCGATGCTATGGCCCTCGTCCAGCAGTGGATCGACAAGAGGCGCCGTTACAGGCACAGCAACGGCTCACTCGACGCGCGGTGTCCCCTGCGTGCCGTGGCCAGTGGGCGTTCGGCGTGACCATGTGGGAGATCGTGACGTGGGGGAAGATGCCGTACCCGGGCATCCAGAACCACGAGATGTATGAGTATCTGCTGGCCGGGAACCGCCTCAAGCAGCCGGCGTCCTGCCTCAACGAGCTGTGAGCCACAGAGAGTCGCACCACCACCACCGCCACCACGGCCTCATTCTCAAATACCAACAACAACCACCAGCCACCGCCGCCTCACTCACTCGCACTACCAACACAACCACCACCGCCTCACTCAACACCACCACCACCAACACAACCACCACCACCACCTCACTCACCACCACTACCAACACAACCACCACCGCCTCACTCACACCACCACCACCACCACCACCGCCTCACTCACTCGCACTACCAACACAACCACCACCACCTCACTCACACCACCACCACCAACACCACCACCACCTCACTCACTCGCACTACCAACACAACCACCACCACCTCACTCACACCACCACCACCAACCACCACCACCTCACACTACCAACACAACCACCACCGCCTCACTCACTCGCACTACCAACACAACCACCACCACCTCACTCACACCACCACCACCAACACCACCACCACCTCACTCACTCGCACTACCAACACAACCACCACCACCTCACTCACACCACCACCAACCACCACCACCTCACTCACACTACCAACACAACCACCACCGCCTCACTCACTCGCACTACCAACACAACCACCACCACCTCACTCACACCACCACCACCAACACCACCACCACCGCCTCACTCACTCGCACTACCAACACAACCACCTCCTCATTCACACCACCACCACCAACACAACCACCACCGCCTCACTCACTCGCACTACCAACACAACCACCACCACCTCACTCTCACCACCACCACCACCACCAACCACCTTACTCACTCCACCAACACAACCACCACCTCGCTGCATCACAAACACCGCCACCTCAGTCACCAACGCCACAGCCGCCGTGCCACTCCACGCCGCACACACAGCCGAGCGCGGCGAGGCCTACCGCAGTGCGTCGGACTCCGATCCGAACGTTGACAGCGCGGGGGGCCGTGCGAAGCAGCATAGCGAGCGGGTCCACTGCCCCCCCTCGCGCAGGTACTCCATCATGTGGAGCTGCTGGCTGACGGAGCCCGGCGAGCGGCCCGACTTCTCCTCGCTGCGCCTCTCCCTCGAGGGCCTCCTCGAGGGCTTGCCCCGGCCGGGCGCCAAGGAGGACGTCCTCTACGCCAACATGGAGCCCTCGGAGGCCCCGGGCGCCGACGGCGGGGCGGAGGGCGGCACGCCGGGGTGGCACGACGTCGCCACGCTGCCCGCGCGCGAGGCCGACGACAAACCGGCGCGCGCGCCCAGGAAGGCTGCGGCGACGGCAACGGCGGCGGCGGCGGCGGCGGCGGCGGGAGGAGGAGGAAGAGCCGGCGGGGCCGACGGCGCGGCAGGCGGAGCGCCGGCGCCCAAGCCGGAGGCCGGAGCCAAGGCGAGGGGGGCCGACGCCTTCCTGGCCGACCCGGGCGACGTTTGCGACGGCGCGGCGCCCCGGTCGGCGTGTTTCCCCGTCGCTTGCGCCGGCGGCGGCGTCGCGCACACCGTGGTGGCGGCGCTGGTGCACAGCGACGCGGAGGAGCGCGCCGCGTCGCGCCGCCCGGCGGCGGCGGCGGCGAAAGCTTTGCCGCCGCCGCCGCCGCCGCCGCTGGACCTCGACCGCTACACGGAGCCGGCATTCGGGAAGGGAGAGGCGCCGGCGGGCGGCGCCGGCGGGCAGCCCGGCGGGACCGAGGCTGCGAAGCCTTCCCTGCCGAGCCGAGGGGCGTCCGTGGAGGAGGTGGCCGGGGACGATTATAGCTTGCTCATGGTGGAGGAGCGGGACTTGGTACGGACTGGGAACGACGTGGAAGAGGACGTCGCGAGCAAGCAGCAGAGATGAAGGATCGCCGTTGCGCTGGTCGCGGTTGGCTCTAGCTACTTCGCATTTCGCGAGCCTTGCTTACGCTTTATTTAAGACGCCAGCGTAGGACACACGTTTCTCTCGTTTTGCGAAACTGCCTTTTTTCTAACTTTTTACACATTAAAGTTGTGCGGTTACTTGAAGCTCCACTGAACCACTAGTTCGTTTATCTGGGCCGATCCCTTCGTGAAACCTTCCTTCACTGTGGACATTTCTGAGCTGACCTGTTGTAACTGACTTAATGCAATGGTTGAACTTCCAGTCCACCTATGCATCTTCTCATTCACTATTCCACCAGTAGACTGCCGGATTTATACGGTTCACTGCCAGTTGATAACGTGTTTTCTTGATAACCGGGTAACCCTTTTGTACGTCGGATGCTGAAAAAGTCAGTCCACTCTGGAATTTCGTTCCACCTGTGGCCAATGTCCTTTTAAAGTCAATTTTACCGAGAGCATTATTACAAGCGGGATGGGAGCGGTGGCACATTGATTAGTGCATTGCGCTCTGAATCTGCCAATCTGAGCGATATCTGAAGCAGTGTGACTCCCATCCTTAACCATCCTGCACTGACCAGCGTGGTGAAGTATGGTCAAGCACCACCCACTGCTGACATGGTATTGGGAGGCCTTCATCCAGCAGTAGGTTGATTAAGCGCGGTACACTTTATTATAAATGCATTTGGATAACGAGCGATATCTGCAACTGTTCGGGAAATTGTGCCTTTATATGTGTCGTGATCCATAGTTCAACAGTCCCAAATTATCCAGTGTTGTCCAATGGATATTACTCATCCCCTGACACGGGAATGTGGAATTTCCATCACTTGGCTCAGGGCTGCCAGAAGGAGATAAAGTACTGCACATCGTTCTTGCCTGAGCAAGAACTGTTCTTAAACTTTTTAAAGCTTACAATTCATTGTAGTCGAATTTATCAGCGAGGGTCCAAATTTCAGCTGTACGGAGAAAGCGTTGGCGAGTATTCGCGTATCGATCTGTAACCCACGTGTTTGTATTCCCCAAGCTGTTATCGTGATAGCTGAGCTATCACTCCGAGTACAGTGACGAGCAAACGCTCGGAAGAAATTTTGCACGAAGGTATTTCGCGTTGCGCAAGAACGACTTTAAAATAACGTAAATCCGGATATTATGAAGGTTAAAAAAAATGAATTGTGCCAACGTACGTGCCCTTTTGTGCTGACGAAAAAGCGAGGAGACTTATTTGCTTGAAGAAAATTCATCTTTAACAACTGAGTCCAGCCTGAGGAGAAACTAAGGAGGAATGGTGCCCTGTGGCGAACTTTGCCCTCTCCCACCAACCACCGCTGCCCGCGCGGTCGCCGGTTGGCGCCGGAGCTATCATGGGCGACACCTGTGGCACTTCCTTGGGTTAAGGGGGCAAAATAAGACGCGGATTTGTAGCACCCCGCTATGCCCCCGCCCCTCCCCTATGCCCCCCTTCTCATCTATACCCCCTCATCCCACCCCCCCCTATGCCCCAACTCCCCACCCCCCTATGCCCCCCCACCCTCCTATGTCCCCCACCCTCCTATGCCCTCTACCCCACTGTCCCCCCCACCCCCCTATGCCTCCCCACCCCATCGTATGCCCCCCCACCCCACTATGCCCCCCCACCCCCTATGCCTCCCCACCCCATCGTATGCCCCCCCCCCCACTATGCCCCCCCACCCCCTATGCCCTCCCACCCTCCTATGTCCCCCACCCCCTATGCCCCCTACCCCACTGTCCTCCCCACCCCCTATGCCCCCCACCCCACCCTCCTATGCCCCCCCACACCCCACAATGCCCCCCCCCACCCCACTATGCCCCCCCCCGACCCCCGCCTTGGGTCAACCCCTGTCCCAGAACGCGTCGACAAAATGTCACGTTTTTTTAGAGCTGTAAAACATCGCTGCAACTTTTGTTTTAACTAACAAACGTGTGTTGTACACAGCTAAGAACAACAGATGTTATTTTTTATTTTTAAAGGCAAGCGCGGTATATGATAAATTTTATTCTCCAATCATCAAGTCCAGTTTTTAAAGTGTTGTCGCCTCGGGGTTCAGTCCGGAGTGTGTGGTTCATCACGTCGTCACGTGGATGCACGACGACAACTTCGGGGCAACTTGCACCAGCAACTGTCGCCAGCAATTGTGTTTGATCGTCAATGTTTGTTTGATTTGCGCCAACATATTTACACGTACAACTCAAACGTACACGTTACCTTTAATATTTAGCAATATGTACACGTAAGTACATTGTGTATTTGTGCAAATGAAACGCACATTAAGGATCAAACAGAGCAACGCATATCATGCCATGAACTGCTGCCACAACCTTTGCTATTGTGTAAAACTAACAGAAATAAAGTTGCCCAAATCTGGATAAATCTATAATCGCTCTTTCACCTCGTGGCGAAGCTGGGATGCCGACATCCAATCAACGCACGGACAGAGGGCCGCGTGACTGCCCCATCGTAGTTTGGTCCGTGCCGTGATTAGAGCAGTCACTGTTTATGAGACTCAACTTTGAAACAACAGGCCATGTTTCCACGGGCTTGGGCAGAAACTCCCCCGCTCGTGCCTCCACAGTTGCTCTCCGTAGACGCATTGCCGGCAGACGACCTCCCCCCCCCCCTCATCACTCAACTTACCGCACTGTGCATCGTGGTCTTTAAGTGGTCACAAACATGCCACCCATTCGACATGAACACCGCCTTCTCAGCCAGCTACCCTCGCGACGAACGGAACCCCGAATCGTGCTCGTTTCGTTGTATGCTCGCACGGTGATGGAGGGCGCGCGTGTCACTGGGGTCAGTGGCTCGTGTGCTGGGATAAGGCGGGGGGTGGAGGACATCCCGCTCGCATGGGTCCACGCCTGTGCGTTGTTGAGTGCGAACCGGTCCGCTCGTCGCGATGAGGACGAACGCGTGGCTCAGCCAATGCCCGCGGACGAGCGACGTCGATGTCGTCTCGACGACATCGGTTTGTGGCTTTGGTCGACGCGAAAACGTGTAAACCGGTGGGTGCCACCAGGAGCGATGGGGCTACCGTCACCCCACCCGTCACGTCTTCGAGCCACGGTGCTGAACCGTCGCCGTACAAACCCAAACCCATGGACCGCGTAGCAGTAGCGTATTGTCGCCTGCGCTCCTTAAAGTGGAGGAGAAGGAGCAGCACAAACTACACGAAGTGTCTCTCCCTCCCTCTCTCTCCAGAAGCCCGCTCGTCTTTGGCGAGCAGACCTTTGGACATTTGTGTTTAGCTCCCGAACGCAGTGTGCTGACGTTCGCGAGAATAGAATTGGCGCGCGCTCGTTGGAAGGGGATTGATGGAACAACTGGAGTGGCAGGAAGATGTTTTTGCGACCGTGCCGGTTTTCATGGTTGTGCTGTTAGCCCCCCCCCCCACCCCCATGTGTATTTGCGTTGAAAGGAAAAGTGAGTAATCGATGATGTTTCGGGAAACGAACCTCCACTGCTTTTTCATATCTATTATAAAGAAGGGTCCTTGGCCGAAATATCATCCATGATATATATCTAAGGCCACAGTGTTATGGATGAATGTGAAGAGTTTTGTTTGTTAAGTGTGCTTGTGCAGCAGCAATTATTGTTTTTTTGCGGTTGTACTGTGTGCGGTAACAACACAGACGCACACCGGGAGAGCGACGTCTAATTGCAATGCTTTCGTAACGGAAGATAACCGCTATGGGACACCCTTGTACGTGCGTGAATGTTTGCATGAAGTGGCCTGTACGGGATGCAGGCGTCCTGATGCCAAGTGTGGCCGAGCCGAGTCACCCTTTGCATTCATCTGTGCGGAATCTCACGCCTCCAATTAGCACGGATGGCTACGTGCGGTGCGAAAGAAGTTCAACACACATCTCAAATAACTAGGGGTGGGACGATTCACTAACCCCCCCCCCCACTCTCTGCCCCAACCCCCCCCCCTCCCTCCACTGCTCCTCTCGCGATTTCCTGAATTATTCGTTTTAACATCGCGTCAAGGGTAATATCGTCAAGGGTAATATCGTCAAGGGTAATATCATATTCTTGGTTCTTTCGGTAAAGTCACGTTGAAGGGAAACAATAAAATAATACAATATATATTTATTGTTTTATATATATTATTTTATTGTTTCCCTTCAGCGTGTCTTTACCGAAAGAACCAAGAATATGAATCACTGCAGTCACGAAAGCTTTAAATCAAAATTTAAGGGTAATATCGTCAAGGGTAATATCGTCAAGGGTAATATCGTCAAGGGTAATATCGTCAAGGGTTATATCGTCAAGGGTAATATCGTCAAGGGTAATATCGTCAAGGGTAATATCGGCTTGCAGCGGCTGCAAGAGCGACGAGAATGCACGCAATTTGGTGCGTAAGTAACGCTCAGCACATCCGTCAACAACACAGTGGCCTCACCCCACGACCCCTTAGCCCCCCCCACCTCATAATCGCCACCGTTACTTTTCCCTCTTCATATTCCGCCTTTATGTGCCTATCGCTTATTCCCCATTCGTTACATCCATTCATCTGTCATTTACCGTCAATCAATTTCGCTTTCACCGAATTCACGCAACATCGCAGACGTGCCCATCGCTTCCTCTCATCCATTTCATTCGCATCATCTCCACCATCACACTCACAGTGCCGTTTTTAACGCTGTCTGAAGCGTTAAGGCGCTTTACAAATTCCATGAAGATAACAAGTCCACGTTTCGGGCAACGGTCCCTTGCGCAGCGCGTGAAATCAAACTTGAGAAAAAAACAATTTGTTTGCGAGTAAGGGGAATTTGTGGACTTGAGAATCGCACCGCCGCTCATCCCAACCGCGCAGATGTCAGCTGGCGGTGCGCGATCGGTCTGGGTCAAATTTTCACGATCCCGGGTCTGTACACTTCGATGCCGTGAGGTCCGTTTTGTCTCTCTCTTTTTTTTGCCTTGCAACGAATCGCGAAGGCGAGCCACGCTTGTGCGAAATGCGAGAGTCGACAGGTGTGTTGTTTTTGTAAACCGGGAGTGCTCTCTACGTGCGCGTCATGTCGATTAACGAAGTGCAACTTTTGAATTAAAAGCTTGAAGTCGTGGACTAATTGCAGGACTATGCGAGCGTTTCATTGCACGCGTTCGCCGATTTACGAGGTTTTTTTTTGGTCCAACAGGTCAAGCGCGTCGGGTTCCGCGGGCACCAACATCGAACATTTAAACCAATATATTCCAAAAGCTAAATTTGGCGAAGGGGAGGTGAAGGGACAAACGTGAAGAGGATGGAACATACGGGCCTAGCACACAAAGCCTCGTCCTATTCTAGCCAACCAGAATCTAGCCCTATCCCCAACCTTGACTCTTCGACCAGACCCTAGCTCTATCTCTAACCTTGATTCACCAACCAGACCCTAGCCCTATCCTTAACCCTGACTCACCAAATAGACCCTAGCCCTATCCCTAACTAGCCAACCAGATCCTAGCCCTATCCCTAACTAGCCAACCAGACCCTAGCTCTATTTCTAACTAGCCCACCAGACCCTAGCTTTATCCCTAACCCTGACTCACCAATAAGATCCTAGTCCTATCCCTAACTAGCCAACCAGATCCTAGCCCTATCCCTAACTAGCCAACCAGACCCTAGCTCTATTTCTAACTAGCCAACCAGATTCTAGCTCTATCGCTAACTAGCCAACCAGACCCTAGCCCTATCCCTAACTAGCCAACCAGATCCTAGCCCTATCCATAACTAGCCAACCAGACCCTAGCTCTATCCGTAACTAGCCAACCAGATCATAGCCCTATCCCTAACTAGCCAACCAGATTATAGCCCTATCCCTAACTAGCCAACCATACCCTAGCTATATCCCTAACTAGCCAACCTGACCTAAGCTTCATCCCTAACCTTGACTCACCAACCAGACCCTAGCCCTATCCATAACTAGCCAACCAGATCCTAGCTCTATCCCTAACTAGCTAACCAGATCCTAGCCCTATCCCTAACTAGCCAACGAGAGCCTAGCTCGATCGCTAACTAGCCAACCAGATCCTAGCTCGATCCCTATCTGGCCAACCAGATCCTAGCTCTATCCATAACTAGCCAACCAGACCCTAGCCCTATCCCTAACTAGCCAACCAGATCCTAGCTCCATCCCTAACTAGCCAACAAGACCGT